CTGCGCTGGCTGTTGTCGCCCTGTTGATGACATCAGCGACGTGGTTTAATCAGGTGCGCTTTAGTCGAGCGCGGTTTTGACGGGTCACAAACTTCTCTTGAATCAAGATCACAGTCCTGAATTTTAAAAAAGTAGAAGAAACAGCTCCCCCGCCCCGGAGGAATCGTTGGGAGGGGGGCAGCATTTAAAGTGGCTGGATTTCTTCGTATGGCCTTCGGGGAGTTTAAGGACTTGGCGCGCTTTGATTTGCATAAGGGGGGGGATTCGAATTAGGAGTCCTGCCCAGGGTGCAAGTGGGCGAGAGGAAAAGTAAGAGGAGAAAACACGATCCTTTCTGGAGGATGTAGGTTTCGTTTTTTACGGAGCACCAAAACGAGACGCCAAGAGTATGCAAGTACTCCTCGACTTACGACCGTAACTGAGCCCCCAAATCTCTGCTGCTAAACGAGACATTTGTTAAGGGAGTCTTGCCCCGTTGTACGAGTTGTGGCGGGGGAAATCACGGCAGTTGCAACTTGATTAAGTGAATCTGCTTCCCCCACTGAGTTGGAAGGGACCTTGGAGGCCATCTAGTCCAACCCCTTCCTCCCCCCCCCCCCCCCCAAACAGGAGACCCTACACCTCTTCAGACAAATGGTTGTCCAATCTCTTCTTAAAAACCTCCAGTGTTGGAGCATCCACAACTTCTAGTGGCAAGCTGTTCCACTGGTTAAGTGTTCTCAGGGTCAGGAAATTTCTCCTTAGTTCTAGATTGCTTCTTCTCTCCTTGGTTAGTCTCCATCCGTCGTGTGCCAAAAGGGGATCACATGACCCCAGGGCACAGCAACGGTTGTAAGTATGGACCAGCTGCCAAGCACCCGTAAATCACGTCACTCTGGGGGTGCTGCAAAAAATGGTCGTGGGAAAAAATGGTTGTAAGTCACAACAAGTGCCGTTGTCACTTCGGTCCCTAAATGAACTGGCGTAAGTCGAGGACTAGCTGTATGCCCAAGCACTTACCTTTCTCCTGCTGTTGGTGAGCGGAGACCATGGGGTGAGCTACTGACCCCTTGAAGGGGCTCCCAAGTGTGATCATGGGGAAAGATGGGCCAGGCCTGTCCAGGTTGGGATTCGACCACCTCCCCCCCCTCTCCTAAAAGGCTAGGATTTTACTAAAAGAAGGGAAACCTGACTGGGCCCTACTCGGGTGCGAAGATTAAAAAGGGAGAATCAAACGCTTAAAACGTTCAAAAGAATAAATCTGAACGCTCAAAAAACGGCAAGGCTGCCCTGAGCTTAAGGCTTCGGTCAAACTCTAGGAAAAAAAAATAACAACACCACATGAAGAAGGGAGTGTGCTTTCTAGCAGCCTACCCCGCGTCCGAGAGAAACACCCCCTTCCGGAAAGCATTTTTTGTTTCCAAAAAATCGCACCCATCACCCCAAAATATGGCACTTGAGTTTCCTTTGAAGCATGGCCATTTCCTCAAGGTGGTTGGTTCCTTGGCCTCAATCTAAATCTGTAGAAATCACAGGGTCTGGAGCAAAGAGACCTCTCAAAGCTGCTTGGCAATCAGGAAAGCTAAAATCGGCGTCCCATCTGGGTTGCCAAAAACGTCTCTCTCCTAAAGGTAACCCAACGCATTAAGAGTCCCCGTTTTCCCGCCGATTGGAATGAGTCCACTCGTCACACGGAAGCCGACTGGCCCCCCGGTCGCTGATTCCCTTCGTAGGTGCTTTCCCGGCCACTCAATGGCTGGCCTGATATTTACAAGTCCCGATGGCTACACGTTGCTGACCCGGGTCTCGGCAGACAGAGTCGTGCTGGTGGTCGAGGTGACGAGTGAACGATCCCGCCGGACGTAACGAGGTTTCCGGACTGCAGCCATAAGAGAGAGAGAGACACGGTTAGTTTCTATCTTGAATTTTAGCAAAGAGGCTTAAAATTCATTCGAAGGATTTCCACACCTTTCTCTGCCAACACTGGCACATCCAATCACACACTGAGAGAGAGTGAGAGAGAGTGAGAGAGAGAGTGAGAGAGAGAGAGAGAGAGAGAGAGA